GCCCTGCTTACAGCTTGCTTTGGGCATAATTAATGGGGTTGTCCCCCACAAAGAACATTTAATATCTTAAGAAAACTTTGTTGATTTAGACATAGAAAACTTTTATCCCCTCAGTTATAGCCAACTTAATTATATCTTATAATAATTCAGAAAGACTCTGGGAAAAACCAGGAAAAGTCACCCATTGTTGGAGAAAATTGAAGCAAATTGGTTCAGGCAGCTGCTTTTCCAACCCCAATGGGTTCATATATATGTCTTAAAGAAGAAACTCTGAACTTATTGTACACATAAAACAATAGACATTGTATTTATCAAACATTTAAAAATGTTATCTTCATTGGCTAACAACCTGAATTAAAAACATTACCAACTTCAAAGACATCTTTACCTTTATTTTATTGAGCATTTTAAACTAGTACACTGTTAAATCATGTGAATAAGCATTTTGACTATTATAATGAGTGTCTATTTATCTATAAGCTAACTAAAATAAAACATAGATCTGGAAAGTAACACATAGAAGCACACTCATTAACCTAATCATATGAAAGTCTCCAAGGAGCCAAGAGTTTAAAAGGACAAAAATTGCAAGGAAAAATGAAATTGGTAAAAGCTCAGAAAATCATTCATGAAGCAGCTTCAGGTACTTTAGTTCTTAAAACATTTTATAGGCACACAAGGACACATATAGAACATACAAAGCAAATATTTTAAAATCATAGTGTACATGTATTAACCATGCTGAATTATAGTAATCCTTTTTACAATTTTAGGTTTATAGCTATAAATAGACTAGTCAGAAGCTTGTCTAGGGGGTATGGTAGCAATTTTTAGGTGAGTTGTAACAGTGACCTCTTGTATTAACACCAATAAGAGTCAGAAGGTAGTATGAAGATAGAAAAACTGTAAATTGTTAGGTGTTAAATTGTCAGGTGTTAGGTGTTAAATTGTATAATTGTTAAAAAGCTATGAATTATTATCTCTCCTTATTCTAAGCTAAATTTGATGCCTTATCTCTTTTACACCCATGAAAGCAAGGACTATTTTAACAAAGACCCTATTTGATGATTTATCTTAATCTTTGGGATATCTGCTAGCACAGTCTAGCCCCCTGGAGCCCTCTGTATTAGAGTTATTATGGGAAACTGCTTTTGATAGCCGTGCTGTTTCTTATGTAAATGTTTTCCTCCAGAGGCACAGACCCTTTAAAGGTTATGGTGTTGCAGTGGACTTTTTTTTTTTTTTTTTTTTGCAAGCTTCCCCCCCCATTGTATGAGAATTAAATTTAGACCAGAATATAGCCCAAAGGATAAGGCAGAGGAAATTGAAAACAAGAGGCCCATCATGGGGCCTAAGGAGATGCTTTACCCAAAAAGGACACCTTTTGCCTTCTTTGGGGCATCCCCTAAACAGAGGAGCTGCATGGCACTAGGGCCATCATCCAGTTGATCTGATTGGTCCAGATGACCTAGCAAGACAGTGAGGCACAGAGACAGCGCAACTCGTCATTCTGGAGAGATGGAAAACCTGCCGTCAGGAGTGGAAAAGCTGCACTCAAGAGTCCAGCAGCCAGAGGGAACAGATTGCCAGAGGAAGACAGATTCACCCTGGATGGGCTGCCACTGTCAGCTGCTCTGTGTTGAGAGTGAGGGAGGCTCCAAAAGAAGACAAAGTGGCCTGCTAGAGAGGTGCTGGCAAAGGCTGTGAGTAGTAAGTGGGAAGTAAGACTTTCCACAAGGGGCTGAAAAGAACTCTAGCTTGTACCTTGATGGACTACAGTAGTGGTCCTAGCCTGGAGGCCTTTGAGGCCCTAATTTGTTTTTGTAGTTGTTCTATCAGTGAAATCATCTGTGCTGTAATGACCCTAATTACATTAGGGAGAAGGGTATGGGAGAAGAAATAGAGCCTAATCCAGCAATGGTGAACCATTTAGAGCTTTCAGTGACAGCCACTGCTGCATGCATGCCATAGGTTCACTTCCTCTAGCCTAATCTGACAGGCAAAGGAGCTTCATCTACAGGGAAGAGGCATAAGGCTGTCAGTTTAAAAGAGAAGGGGCAAGAGGGAGGGGAGAGAGAGAGTGCAAAGTGCATCTATATAATAAATATAATTATAGTTGAATGGAGAGGAAGAAGCTAAACACTGTCCAATCTGTTACCTCCTGTCAGTCTCAGTTTGCCAGATATAAAGTGCAGAGTTGATTTTGGTGAGACCTCCATTATGAAGCAGTTAATTCTGTATAAACTCAAGCTCTTTGTCTCAGGAAACTGAAGAATAAAATTGCAGACAAAAGGAGGGAGTTAGGAGAATATTTCTTGGAAATAAGAAAAAAAGCTTCTGTGTATACATACCCACCACACAGGAATCCTGGAAGTGGAATTGTCCTCACATAGAATTCCTGTGTTTAGTGTTTTGAGGTATTTCCATAATGGCTTTACTAGTTTTCATTTCCACCACAATGCAGAGGGGTTTGCGTCATGTTGCTCCACCACCATTCCTCAGCCTCAGCAGCATGTGTTGCTGTTTGAGTCTTTAATGATGGTCATGCTTATGGAGTAAGATGGAATCTCAGGGTTTTAACTGGCATTTCTTTAGTGGCAAGCAATGTTGAACATTTTCTCACATGTTTCTTGGCCATTTGTACTTCCTTATTTGAGAAGTATATGTTCATTTTAGTTGCCCATTTTTTGATTGAGTCTTTTATTTTGGGGAGTCTAATTTTTTTGAGTTCTTTATGTGTTCTAGATATTAGTCGTTTGTCCAAGGTGTAACTGGTGAAAAGTTTTTCCTCATTCTGTGGGTTGTCTCTTTACCCTCCTGGTTGTTTCCCTTACTGTGCAGAAGCTTTTAAATTTGGTAAGATCCCATTTGTTGAGTCTTGGTACAGTTTCCTTTACAATTGGGTTTATTTTCAGGAGGTCCTTGCATATGCTTATGTTATGGCTTGCGTCTAGATGTCCCCCAAACCCGCCTGCAGTCAATATGTGGACCTTTTCAGAGGTGGCTGAATCTAGAGTGTATGATGCTGAATCAAGGGTGTGTGATTACTAAGTTTGTCCACTGATAGTTTGACGTAGTTCTGGGTAGGATTTAGGGTGCCCTGGATTTGAGTGCTCCTTGCCTAACAGGTAAGGCTGGATAAGATATAAGAAACAGGAAGAGAGTCATTGTCTGTGGCTTATTGGTTGCTGCCATGCTACCATCTGCCTTCTGCCAGCCTTGCTTTCCATGGACTTTCTCCTCTGCAATGCCCCTCTGTCGTGCCACCCTGCCTTGGAGCCAGCCAACTATGAACTGAAACCTCTACAAACTGTGAGCCAAATAAACCTTTCCTCCTTTAACATGGGTATTGGGTGTTTTGTCTCAGTAACAAGAACAAGTAAGACAGCCTATGTCTTCAAGAGTTTGCTTATTTTATCAGCACATGACTTTCTCTAACATTTATTATTCTTTGATCCATTTTGATTTTAGTCTAGTTAGTACATGGTGAAAGATATGGATCTAGATTCAAACTGCATGTGAATAGCCAGTGTTCCCAGCACTGAGGCTATCCTCCAGGGTGTTTTTACTGTTTGTCAAAGATCAGATAGCTGAATGTGCCTGGACTTGTTTCTGCATCCTCTATTCTGTTCTTTTGTTCCACATGTCTGCTTTTTTTGCCAAGACCATGCTGCTTTTATCACTGTAGTTTTATAGTATAACTTGAAGTCTGAGATTGTGATACTTTTGCTATTCTGGGTCTCTTCTAGTTCCATATGAACTTTAGGATTGTCTTCTCTAGTTCTATGAAGAATGCTATGATATTTTCATTGGGATTGTGTTAAATCCATATATCAGTTTTAGAAATATGGCCATGTTGAATATATTAGTTCTACCTGTCTAGGAAGAGAGGATATCTTTCCATTTTTAGATATCTTCTTTGATCTCCTTTTTCAGAGTATTGTAATTTTCACTGTAGGTGTCTTTTACTTCCTTGGTTATTTCCTAAGTATTTACTTTGTTTTGATGGTACTATGAATAATGTTTTCCTAATTTCTTTCTCAGTGACCTCATTATTGGTGTACAAGAGTGCTGTTGTTTTGTGAATGTTTATTTTAAATTTTTGGGGGCAGGTACTGGGGATCAAACCTGGGACCTTGCATTTGTGAGGCAGGTGACAGAACCACTGAGCTAACCCGGCCCCTGAGTGTTTATTTTGTATCCTGCAACATTGCTGAATTTGGTTATTAATTCTAGGAGTCTTTTAGTGGAATTTTTGGGGTCTTCTATGTAGAGGATCATGTCATCTGAAAATAATGATAATTTGACTTCTTTCCTACACATATCCTTTTTATTTCAAATATAAAAAATATACATGTATATTTTTTGTACTAGGAATCAAACTTGGGTCCTTGCACTGGCGAGGCAGGTGGCGACACCACTGAGCTAAGTCACTGGCCCTCAAGTACTGTATTGAACAGGAGTAGTAATAGTGGACACTCTTTTCTTGATCCTGATTTTAAAGGGAAAGCTTTCAGCTTTTCCCCATTTAATATGATGCTGGTCGTTGGTTTGTCATAAATGGCTTTTACAAGATTGACATAATGTCTTTCTATACTCATTTTCCTCAGTTTTTTTTTCTCTATCATAAATGGACACTGGATTTTGTCAAAAGCTTTTTCTGCACCTATGTAGATGATCATGTGATTTTTGTCTTTGCTTCTATTTATGTGGTGTTGAATATCACTTTTTATAACTTTTTAAACATAATGTGGATACAAAAATTAGTTTATGTATATATTTTGCAAATGATAATTTCAGAAATGTTTAGTTAGATGACAGAATGTGAAACCTTTGTTTTTTAAGCAAAATCCAAAGTTAAGAAAAAACTCAAAAAATAAATAAAATTTAATTTTGTTTATCAATTATAATATTACTGTATAAAATAGAATTTCTTCAACTACATGCATATCAAGCATTCTTACTGTGTAATACTTTTTCTATACATTTAATTTTTTCAGTTTATTCAGATAGCCAGCTTATTTGGACTTTACAAAGTAAATCATGGGTTTTCGATGAATGTGGAACCATGTGGTTCAAATCCTACAGGAAGACTTTTGCCTCTTTGAATAGAATTAAAAGTTACCGGTAAGTTTATCTATTGCTCTGGCAGATATTTACATAATTATGTACAGTAGTAAATGAGTAGCAATTTTTTGTGTTTAATAAACTTGGTTAGTATATAATAGCTTGTGTGGTTTGGTTAAAGTAGCTTTTGTTTATTTAAATGTTCTTCACTAATTTATTTTGTAACAATTTAAATTTGGAAAATTTTAATCCCATAGAAAAGTTGAATAGAGTACAATCAATAGCCAGTCCATATCCTTCATCTAAGTTCAGAGAAAGCCTTTCTTTTTCTGGTACCAGGGATTGAATTTAGGACCTTGTGTTTACAAGGCAGGTGCAGTGCCACTGAGCTAAATCCCCAGCCCAAAGGCCTTTATTTTTAACAGAAGATATATTACAGGGAGAAATATTTTTAATTATAATATTCTTAGGATAAAGCACAATAATGTGATACTTAAAATCATAAGTGGTCTGGATGCAGTATGACTGTAAGGTGGACAAACTCTAAGCAGTAAGATTAGATCAAAGTAATGTCTTTCTGTACTTGTATCGAATAAGCCAGTTTGTAACTTTGTGAAAAATATTGCATAGCTTAGGATGAGCCATCTCTGTTTTCTATGTATGTGCTCCTACTTGTAAATGAGCACCTTTGAGATTGGGTATATCTGAAACCATTCTTTCTCCACTAAGCAGCTACCACTGAGATCTGTTGCAAATTACTGAGCCGGACCCAGTGGTGTATATCTGTAATCCGAGCTACTTTGGAGGTTGAGGCAGAAGGATCAAAAGTTAATTAAAAAGGCCAGGGATTCAGCTCCGTGGTTTTGCTGCCTGCCTTGCAAGTGCAAGGTCCCGAGTTTGATCCCTGGTACAAAAAAAAAAAAGTAATTAAAAGGCCAGCGCTACCTGGGTTCAATCCTTAGTACAGAAAGGGAGGGAGGGAGGGACAGAGGCAAGGAAAGAAAGAAGGTAGGATAGAAGAAAGGAAGGTTATTATAAATCAGTCCTTGGTTATTGAGGTTTTGTGTTAAACACAGGAAAAGATATTAATATTTCTAAATAATATTAATGTTTAAAAAGTGACATTTGAATTTATTTATTTATTTATTTTATAGTATTGTGAATTGAACTCAGAGCCTTCACACTTACTTACAGCCACCCCCCTAGTCCCCTGCTTTTATAAAATTTTGAGAGTGTCTCCCTAAGTTGCTAAATTGCCCCCCCTGGCCTCAGACTTGCAATCCTCTTGCCTCAGCCCCCCCCCCCAGAGTATTGGGAATACAGCAAATGCCAATACACCAGGCTACATCTTAAAAGAAAACACAACAATGAATATAGAATGTACTCTTTGTATATAACTAAGAAATAGTTATATTTGAAATGGAATTTGAAAAGCATTATCTTTTCTAGCTTAACAGCATTTTACCCAAGCAGACCTTTGGAGTATATTTTCTATACTGTTGCTGTGACTTAGAACTCAGTATAGTGTCTAATTTCTATTTAGTCCCTATTTGTTATGTATATACTTTTCTGTCCTTTCCCTTCAGATTACCTTTTTCACAAATGTCTGCTGAGCACTGGCTGTGCTCCAGGAACTCTACTAGTCCCTAGAAATAAAATGGTAATCAAGACAGTTTATGGCTTGCCTACGCAATGCTTAGGGTCTAGTGCAGAGGCAGACATAACCAATAATCATACGAGCCCACAAGGAAGTAAAGGTTATAGGAGTTAATAGGGAACTGTGATCCACTTATAAGGATCAAGGAAGACTTTATAGATTACAAACATTCCATTGAAACTAAGCTCTAAAGGATGAGAAAGACTGAATTAGGCGTTTGGAGGAGGAAAGAGCAAGGGAATGTTGGCAGAATGTTCCAGGCAGAGGGAACAAAGTCTGCCAAGTGCCTGTGGAAAGAGGGAGCATGGCCACTTTGAAGAAGTGAAAGAAGGGCTGTGTGGCTAGAGTGGGGAGGATGAGGAGCGTAAGAGGTGAATTCGGAGAGCAAGGAACTGAGGACTAAATGATACTGAGCTTTATAAACCACGCAGAGGACTTTAGTCTGTATTATTATTAGATGTGACCCAAGGCCAAGTTCTGTGAACTTTGTTTTTAGTTGTAACTTAATTTAAAAGAAAACTACAGTGGACCCTTGACTTACGAACTCCATTGGTTCCCATGGGCTGGTTGTAACTCAAGTTTGTTATAAGTCAATACAGTTGAGATCTGGATGTTTACCTGGGTACACATTATAAGTAACAAGAGGCACATGAATCTTCCATTAGCTTAATTAACCCTAGTTGTCAGGCTGGTCATAACTTGAGTGTCAACTGTAATTTTGTTTCTCAGGGAATAATATGTAAGCAGTATGATTACAAGAAAACCTGGTTTTTATTAATAGCATCAAAATTTAGCAATTATTTAGAATCTAATAACGTATAAATAAGGATATTCTACATGATATATCCCATATTATATTCTTAAAGACATCAGTATTTGTGTGCTCTTTGTTTCCTTAGGCAGCCTTGGACAAGACCGTACAGTACTTCACAGACCACTGTTGACAGCAATGAGGTGAAAACCTTTCTGGCCATGGCTCACAAGTGGTGGGATGAGGAGGGAGTATATGCACCTCTCCACTCTATGAATGACCTGAGGGTGCCATTTATTAGGTAACATTCCAGAAACTCCAAGTCTTTACAGTGGGACTCTTTTGAAGAATTCATCATCTTTTGTATTTTTCTTTTATATTTAAGTTCAAAATGTTGCATTTTAAGTTTTCTTTGGAAATTAGGGAGAATTTCTGTGGTATTCACTGTTTGAAACTAATAATTTTTAGTAAAATTGCCCAGGGCTGTTTTCATAAAATAACCTGAAGCATTATTGAACATTTCAGGTTGATTACAATTCTCATGAGAGGAAAGTAAGGTACTATGTCATCAAGGCCATTTATAACTACTGACCTGCTGTGCCCTGTTGGCCTTTCAGATAAAAATTCTGTATGTACTGCTGCGACAGTTGATTCAACAAGTATTTTTTGAGAGCTTGTCTTATACAGGGCTCTGGGGCTACACTCTGAAAGCTACTGAGATGAATGAAATATAGTCTCTATGTTTGCTATGGCAGATAAGGACAAGAGTTCATTAGGGCTTGCATTTAAGAAAATATTCTGTACATTTATTTACGTAGCAAACATTTTTGAGTAGCTAATATGGGAAAGGTACTGTAATTGACACAGAGTATCACGCACAGACTCTATGCTCAAGGAAGTTTCCAACTGGCTTGCTAGTTCATGCAGAATCAGTACAGTAAAGAGGAAATATTGACATCTTTCTGTTATCATTGAATTTGTGAATCACTCAAATACTAAGCCAGAGAAAGCAGGAATGTTGTTTTATTAGGCTAGATAACTGCTTCTCAAAGTGTAGGCTCTAGATCAGCAAAATTGGTTATCAACCTGGTAATCATCAGAAACACACATTCTCAAGACTCTGTCTAAGGAATCAGCAATCAGGACTCTGCAAACCTTTCAGGTGATTTTGATTAGTTTGAGAACTCCATTAGAACTACTGTATCATATTTATTTAGACAGAACATAAAACAGGTCAGGAGGCCAATGCGAGCTGTGACATTTATCTAAAAATATCAATAACCCAGTTTAAATAGAGATTAACATTTCATCAAAATTATATTCCTTTGAATTTTTTCATTGATAAAATTAATCTTTTTTATATTTAAAATTTTTTTAAAAGAGACAATCTTTTGAAAACAGTTGCTAATCATCATCCAGGAAAACCTTTGTTTGGAATGAAGATTCTTGATGTTGGCTGTGGTGGTGGATTATTAACCGAAGTAAGTGACTAACAGCTTTTCTGCCATAAACTGGGAAAAATATTTGAGGAGTACACTTGTGCTTCATTTACTATTTTGACAAATAATATTCATTATTATTTTAAATGTGTAATGTTGATTTAAATCTATTTGTGATTATAATCTTTTTGTTATTAGATATGTAATACATGCTTTAAAAATATGCCTTAAGATTCTAAACATTTCAAGCTAGGTGTGTTGGTACATGCTTTTAATACCAGTACTTTAGGAAGCTGAGGCAGGAGGATCCCAAGTTTGAGCCCAGCGTAGGCAGTTAAGAGAATTAGCATGACCTTATCTCAAAATTTTAAAAGAAGGGCTGGAGATATAGCTCAGTGGGAACACTCTTGTTCAATCCCCAGTATAGGTGGACAGACAGACAGATAGGTGGGTCCTGGAGGCATGATCTTGGGTACTATATATGATCCCTTACCCATTCCTGTCTGGCTCTGTTCCGCTGCTCTGCTCTCCAGCCACTGTGAACTAAGCACCTTTGCTCTGCCATCCCCTTCCACTTTGATATTCCTGCCTTAGAGTCAGCTGACTATGGATTGAATCCTCCCAAACTGTGAGCTAAGTTAAGCCTTTCCTCTTTTAAGTTGTGAGTGCTGGGTATTAAGTCCAGCAATGGGAAAGCTAATACACTGTAAAAATATATCCATTAGATCAACAGCATGTGGTGTATCAATGGTAACTAAGATTTTAGTGTATGTGTTCTGCAATCTGCTTACTGTAATTATTGTAGATCTTATGTCTCAATTTAAAATAATGTGATTATACTTTTAACTTTTTGACTTTGTTCAATAAAAGTGCTATGTAAGTTTGATTAATACTCAGCCTGTATTTAAATATTTCAGCATGTCATGAGAAGTTTCATACATAAAAACTGAACAAATAATTAGCTATAATAACTATTTCTTGGGGCTGGGGGAATAGCTCTGTGGTAGTTTGCGTGCTCAACATGCGTAAGACCCTGAGTGTTTGATACCCAGCAAAACACACACATGCACGCACGCACACACACACACACACACACACACACAAGAAAAGAAAAGATATTTTTGGTTAATCACAGAAAAAAACTATTGAAATTTGTTCATTCGAATGTTTTCATATTTCATTTTAAAAATTGTTTATAATTTCTAGTGTTCAAATTTATTAATCGTTCCTTGAATTAAATAAATTTGCCTTGAAAAATGTTTTAGGATGAACTTTGTTATAGTTTTAAACCCAATTAAGTTCATCAGTTTAATTGACAGTAAAAAAAATAATGTTTTCATATTTCAGAAATGATAGCTGTTTTTACATGGCATGTTACATTTATTGCATTTGAAGTGTGTTAATACTGTGACAGAAGCAAGTAAACATAGATTTTTGTTTTGATTATTCTCACATTTAAGCTCTTTATTATAGAAAATTTCAAATGTATGAAAACGAGAAGAAATGATATATGAACCCATATACCTATAAGTGATCTCAAGTAATTGTCAACTCATGATTAGTCTTTTTTCATTATTGCTGACATAGTCTCCTTTCTTCCTGAGAGTGATGATTTTTTTATATCATTAGCCTCTAGGACGTCTGGGGGCTTCAGTGTTTGGAATTGATCCTGTGGATGAAAACATTAAAACAGCACAGCACCATAAAACATTTGATCCAGTCCTCGATAAGAGGATAGAGTACAGGGTATGTTCCCTGGAAGAGATCGTGGAAGACACTGAAGAAACTTTCGATGCTGTTATAGCTTCTGAAGTTGTAGAACATGTAGCTGATCTGGAAACATTTATACAGTACTGCTGTCAAGTATTAAAAGTAAGATTTAGGAATTTATTTGTTTGTTTCTTCTTCTGACTGTGTGCATATATCCATAGCAAAAAAGTATTTGATAATACTTTAGCAGTCTAGCAGGCAAAATATAGGAGGAGAGGAGGAACAAGAAGCCAGGATTAGGGGATATCTGCTGGAGATTACTTCTGCCCCTCAGATTAACCTCAGTAATAGGGTTTTTCAGTGTCCCACTAGTATCTTAATGTGCCTTGAAAAATGTTAATGTTAATTATTTGAAAACTGCATTTTTAGTGGTATTTCCCCATTGAGATAATCTGGATTAAATACTTAGTAGACGTTATATGACAATTACCAAGCAGTGAATCTCACTTAATATTTAGAGACAATGATTAGCATAAATTTACTTAAATAGTATTTCAGTTACTCTGTGAGTTTTCAGCTTATGAAATATATAAGTATTTGATTTTATGTAGCACCCAGTGATGAAGGAAAGGCAGATGTTGTTATCACATTTGTTAACACATGAGCACTCAGGGTTTGTGAGTTGGCAAAGATCACTGGGCACTTAGATGGGGCTTAACGCTAGATCCTTTGATTCCAGCTCTGATAATCCTCATTACTTATTATTGTTATATTATTGGCCAGACTTAGTTCTTTAAATGTGTTTCCAAACTTTCTTATAATAAGTAACCCAAAAGTCCTATTATTATTACTATACATAGACTCTGTCTATATGTTTAAGATGTTACACCCTAAAGTCAAAAGCTAAAAGAATAAAATGCTTACCCAATATCTAAAATGAGCTTTAAAAAAAATTTAAGAAGCTCCGTCAAAAGTTAAAAGAATGAGGGCAGGGTATTTAGCTCAGTGGTTCCACTGCCTGCCTCACAAGTGCAAGGACCCGAGTTTGATCCCTGGTACCAAAAAAACAAACAAACAAACAAACAAAAAAACCCCCAAAAACCCAAAAACCAAAACAAACAAACAAAAAAGTTAAAAGAATGTGATGCTTAGGCCATATCTCAATAGAGCTTTTAAAAATCTTTATTTTACTTTATTTTAAATTAATTATAGATTTACAGAGCAGTTGCAAAGACAGTACAGTGTCACCTTCACCTATGGCCCTCTAATGTTAACAACCTACATAAGGGTAGGAGTGAGCAAGTGAGGCACAGGACATACAAGCAAAGGGGACCCTACTTGTCAGGTGCCAGCCCCCACTTGCACCCATGGAAAGTCTTTTCTATTTTGGGTCTATGTCTTAGAACTTTCCTTAGCCCACCATGGTGCTACCCCTGAACATACTGTTCTCAGAACCCCAGATGTTGGTGTTAGGCTTCTTAAGGCACTGAAGAACTTGTTAAATTGCATTAGTTTTCTGCTAATGCCATTTTTCCATTACCGGATCCAATCCAGGTTCTTGCATTACATTTCATTGCCATGTGTCCTTATTCTTTATTCTGTGATGTTTTCTCAGTGTTACTTTTAAATGGAGCTGTATTAAGGCTTATTCCCTGTTGTCCAAGTAAACCTCCGTAATTATTAATTTCTGTGTTGTGCATATGAGTGGAGGTTCTTTGACACATACGAGGATTGCTAGCATTTGGGCTTTAAAACCAATTTTTGCTTTAATGGAGAACCTGTATTTAAAAAAAAACATGGTTTATCTTTAATGTACCATTTTATTGAACACAGACTAGATAAATGATCAGATTCATAAGTAATTCTTAATAAAGTATTTTAGAATACTGCGCCAGAGTTTTATAAAGGAAAATTACAATGTATGATGATATAGTATGTAGTATTTCAATTTTTAATTTAAGTACACTCCCTAGTATTTCAGAGCTCCTCTTACCATTTTTACTTTTGGTTTGGAGTGGTATTTAAAATATGTTATTCTTTTTCTCCACCCCAATGCATGTAGAAAGAGTAATGTAATTATTTTGGAGGGAAATTTTGGTATTTTATCCTCATCACACCAATGATAATATGTAAGAGTGAGGGGACATCTCTGTACTTGACATTTGTGAGATTAAATGTAGAAAATGCTATAAATATAAGCAGAGTAGAACTAAAAATGGCAAACTAAACAGTCCCATTTTTGGTTTGCATTCACCTACAGGCTTATCTTGATCTCTTCATAGTATTTAGACAAATGAAATCAAATTAAAACAAAAAATTTCAAACCTTAATCATTGTTTTTAAAAATTAATTAATTGTACATTTAAAGTATACAGTGTAATGACATTCATCATTGGAAATTTGCACCTTTACATAATCCATCTTGGGTTCTTATTTTTTCCTCATTCTCCTGCCCTCTCTTCAACCCCTCAATCATTAATGTTTTTGTCAGAGAACACTTGCAAATAAATAAGAAAAAAAAACCACACATACATCCTAGTTATATATAATTTTAAGAGTTATAAGCACTGTTGTGTAGACTCAGTGAATGTGTAGTGGATTGCCTTTAAGAGTGGATTTCCCAAAGGAAAAAAATACTATTTTGGCAGTTTATGTTTTATTCATACTTACATATCTTAACTATACTTAAAACATTTGAAAAGGAGAGAGGAGAAGCCAAGCCTGTACTTAACTGATACTCTTAACTTTTTCAATTTTACTTCTATACATTTTTACCTGTGTATAATTCTGCTTCTTTTAGCCTAGTGGCTCTTTATTCATTACTACAATCAATAAGACACAGCTGTCCTATGCCTTGGGGATTGTGTTTGCAGAGCGGATTATGGGGATTATACCAAAAGGTACTCATACATGGGAGAAGTTCGTTTCACCTGAAAAGCTAGAGAGCATTTTGGAATCGAGTAAGTATGAAGAATTTTTTGAAATTTCTAGATTTAAGTGAACTTTTAATGCATCTGTAATTACTAATCACATAACCTAGCACTTAACTAATTCACTATCTTTGAGATGTTGGTTTCATCTCTTTAACTATGTCTTATACTTTTTGAAGTTGGAATTAAGTAGTAGGTACCTCTTCTGTCTTAGTTGTAGCACCTAACTCAACATCAAGCTCATTATAGATGACAAATACATAACACTTGGATATTTTCACTTGGTAAAAATGAGATACAAATCAAATGTCTATTATTTATACATCCTCAGTTCACTCTACTTTTTCTTTCTTTTTTGGTATTGGGGATCGAACTCAGGACTGTGGTGCTTGTGAGACAGGTGGCAGAACCACTGACCTAAGTCCCTGGCACAGTTCACCCTACTAAGCCCTGCATATATCAACTTATATATCTTATTTTTCCTGATTCCTCTGTACTCAGATATATATTTAAATTCCTTGTCACATTTTATATATTTTATATTACTTAGAGCACACTTTATATTATGGTTTTGTAGTGGAATTTTTTGCTCTTTTTTGGCCTGTAAGCTCCTTTAAGGCAAGATTATGTCTCCTTTTTGTACTTCCTACATTACTCATTTTGTATTACACAAAGTAAGTAGTCAATTTATGTCTTACATTCCTGTCAAGAAATAGTGTTGTTTTGTTTTATTTTTTTGTTTTATGAGACAGGGTCTCACTATGTAGTTCAGGCTGGCCTTGAACTCTCCATAATCCTCCTGCCTCAGCCTCTCAAGCGCTAGGATTACAGGCATGTACTACCATGCCCAGCTAAGTAACAGTGTTTTTCAGTTCATTTATTTGGCATTCTGTATTCTTGTTGAGTACTTAGACTTACTGTATTTCTCATGCATTTTGTTTATATAACAGTGTATTAAATGTGAAATACTTGGAATATTATCAGTCCATGGCAAACTAGTGTGTTCTAGAGATTTCTATAACTTTGTTAAAAACAATAGTCTTTTATTGACATATATTTTCTAATAACAGCTAACATTTATTCTCTGTATTTTTCAAATACCAAGAACTGTACTACTATACTTTATACACATATCGCTTCTCATTTCAACAACTCTATGATATATGTTCTGTCCATGTGGGAAAACATTCAGGAAGGGTAAGTATCTTGCCCAGGGTCACCATGAAAGAGATGCCAGAGCTGGGATTTGAACCTTGTCAATCTGCTGTATGTATTCTAGTCTGTATTAAATTATGATCTATATGTAATAACAAAGAACTTCTGCCCATTAAATTAGCAATTTTTTAAATATGCAGAGTTGCATGAGACTTTTGGTACTTGGAAGGTAAATATTGTTTAAGGCTACATTCATTATCTGATTTTTTTTTTAGATGGTCTATCAGTTCAAACTGTGACAGGAATGCTCTACAACCCCTTCTCGGGTTACTGGCATTGGAGTGAAAATACCAGCCTTAACTATGCAGCCCATGCTGTGAAGTCCATGGTACCAGGACACTCGGGGCCTACTGAGATTGTTTTTAAGGGGGAAAAAGAAGAGCCTCAAGCTGAGGCTTCCACCATCCCAGGTATGCATGAAGAACTGAAGAAATGAATTGTTTCTGAAGACTGTAGTAATATATCTTGAAAGGTTGGATCCTTATATTTAAAAATATATGTATACAATTTATCTTTTGAGAAAGAATCACAAAGAAAAGGTTAATAAAAAAGTTAAATCCTTGGACAAAAATTTTTATGGCATCTACTAGCTACTCTCAAGGGATTCTATGGATAAAAAAGTTTTATGAAGGTATCCGTGATCTAGGAGTTCACATCTAGGAGTTCATTGTCTTTGTTATATAAATGAAGAATGCTATTTCATTTTTTTTCTAAGTTTATTTAAGAAAAATGAAGAGTGGGGAGAAACTGGCCCTGCAGAGCAAACTTAGGCCAAGTAAATAGAAAGAGGGTTAGGGCAAACACAAAAGTACATGCGGCATCTGGGAAACACAGTGTGGACTATCATGGAAAGCTACAATAGCTGCATATTTCCTTTTATCTTACGGGTTATGCATATATTTTCCCCACATACATGCACATACATATCCGCTGTTCTTTATTTTAATTCAATGAGGAATTTGTATCGTAAATGTTCCTCTTTATTTGATTTTTTTTTTGGGGGGGTGCCAGGGATTGAACTCAGGTCCTTGCGCTTGCAAGGCAGGCCACCGAACTGCTGAGCTAAATCCCTGGCCCTCTCTTTATTTGATTTTAATGAAAACCATTTATGCTTTTTTTTTTTTGTTTTTTTTTTGAGACAGGGTCTCACTATGTAGGTGAGACTGACCTGGAACTCACTATGTAGCCCATGCTGGTCTCGAACTCACAGCAATCCTCCTGCCTCAGCCTCCTTGTTTTTGTTTTTACTTTTTGAGATGAGATCTCCCTATGTAGTTCTTGCTGGCTTTGAACTTACTGTGTAGCCCAAGCTGGCCTTGAATTCATGGTGATCCTTCTGACTCAGCCTCCTACGTGCCAAAATTACAGATATGCACCACAATGCCCAGCTCAAATGTAGTTTTATATCACTGGTATTTAGGAAGATAATATTTTTCCTTTTGAATTTCACTTTGTTGGAAGTCAAATGAGTTATCGAATATGTACTGGATTTGGATTTAAGCATTAAAATCAAGAAATTCAGATTATATAGAACATACTTTTGTGTATATGTCCTAAAATTGTATGGTACCTTTTTTTTTTTTTTTTTTTTTTTTTCTAGGGTCTCACTATGTAGTTGAGACTGACCTGGAACTCACTATGTAGCCCAGGCTAGTCTCAAACTCACAGTTATACTCCTGCCTCAGCCTCTCAAGTGCTGGGATTATAGGTGTGCACCACGATGCCTGGAAAGAAAGGACTTTTTAAAATTTAATGATTCAATCATGAAAAAAAAATTTCCAATTACTATATTTTTAATAAAAGGGCTTATTTGAAATATATTTTTTGCCTCTGAAAATATGTTTGGCCTTTTCTCCAAGTTCAGAAACAATGTTCTTTCTACCCATCTCTTGACTTTAGATAGATGGTTACTTATGTGCAAACTTTTATATTGTATGTAAGTTAACCTTAAATTATCTTGAATATACTATTTCTTTCCTGTTGGGATCTTCCCTGATATACTGAATAAAGTCTTCTTAAACTCTTCAGTAATTTCTCATTGACTTCTATAATAAAAGGCCTAACTTCTTTACTCTGGTTACCAAGTCCCCACATACTCTGGCCCTTCCTACTTCTCAAAACTAATGACAATCTGGAACAATCCAACCTTCAGCTGGACTTGTGTGGGACATTGCTGTGGGATCCAGGCCCTTGGTTGGATTCTTTGGGTGTCTAGTGTATGGCTAGATCTCTTGCACTCCTCTACATTTGACTTTTTGAGTGACTATTATAAAATAATCCTATAAAGTATGTGTCCTGTATTAAATCTCTTTCTCTTGCAAAACCGTGACTACAACATTAACTTACAGTAACATTTTAAAAAGGGAAATTCTTATTACTAATGATATGCAACCATTTTCTGTATCAAAAAAAATCCTGACACTGACCATTTGCATGGAAAGCAACAGATTTAATGATAGGATCAATGCAACTCTTGTAACCCAGTGAGAAAAGAACCCAGCACATAGAACAATTGTCTAGGATATAAAAGGCACCAGTTGGACCCAAAGGGAAAGAAAATATGTTCCCAAGACAATGTGGCAACAGAGTTGAGAATGGGAGTTGAAAGTTACAAGGTAAATAGGGATATGAAATGTTTCCCCTTCAGCTAGATTTGAGTCCTTGTTTCTCTTTGAAGGATGGAACCTAATGGATGTAGAACTCACTGCTGTCTCATAAGATCTCCGCTCTTGAGCCAGGTGTGGTGGCACATGCCTGTAATCCCAGCATTCGGGAGGCTGAGGCAGGAGGATTGCTGTGAGTTCGAGACCAGCCAGGGCTACATAGTGAGTTCCAGGTCAGTCTCAGCTACATAGTGAGACCCTGTCTCAAAAAACAAAAACAAAAACAAAAGCAAAACAAAACATGATCTCCACTCTTTTCCTGTCCGAAAAACTAGATCAATAGTTGAAGTTCACAGACAGTTTCTCTAGTCCCAGAAACTCCCAATAAAGAACAAAATTGTGTGTGCGTTTTTTAAAAAATTCAGAGTCCCATAGCTTTCATCAGTCTGAAAAAGTTAAAAATTGTTGCACTTGCTACGTGTCATTGTGCATGCCTATAATCCTAACACTGAGGGCAACTGAGGCAGGAGGATCACAAGTAGGAATTCCAACTGGTCAACCTGACTAGACTGTTTCAATATTTAAAAAAAAAACAGAAAAGGGCCCAAGGTGTAGTTCAGTGTGAAGGCCATGGGTTTAATCCCCATGTACCACAGAACAACAAACAAAAAATAAAAATCCTTAAAAATTCTCTGAAACATTGTAGTGGGAAAATACAGTCTTGAAATAATATTTTCTTTTTTGGTACCAGGGATCAGACTTGAGTCCTTGTGCTTGGGAGACAGGCAGCAGAACCCCTGAGCTAAATCCTGGCCCTAGAAAATATAGTCTTTATTTGACAGAAATGTATCAAGAGAAAAAAAATGATTGCTTTTATCTTTTCCCTACTTATTATAAACATGAGTATGAAGGCTATCAAAAGTTGTAAAAGAAAAAACAGAGACAAGATATAAATTGCCTCTTTTAGGGTATTTTGAGATGGAGTTGAAAAGACTTTCTGTGACTCTGCTTAGATTTTTTTTTTTAATCATAATATGATGATCGAAGGCCAGTCTAGATTCATTAATAGATTACACAATGTTTAAAGAATTTCCACTCAGAAGGACTGCTGGTTTTAAAATAGCAATAGTTAATGGAGGACAGCCTGCATGGACATGTGGAAATGGACAGATGGGTGGACAGCGACCAGACACTTAACCGCACTGTTAACCAAGAGCCCCTGAGGACTGCTTTTATACAGCTAAACAGCTCAGTTCTTGTTTCTGTCCACCTAAGCCTTCAAACACACCAGGTGACAGCACCCGTACCCACCACACCTGCCTGAGCATGCATAGAACCAGTGGTTTTGAGTTGGGTGTGGTGGCCCATATCTGTAATACCAACTTGGGAGGCTGAGGCAGGATGATCACGAGTTTGAGGCCAGCCTGGGATACACAGTAAGTTCAGGGAAAGCCTGAATTACAAAGTGAGACCCTGTCTCCAAATAAACAAACAGACTGGTGGTTTTGAACCCAGAATATTCCCTGAGAACCAGTGATGGAGACTAAAATCAATTCTTTTGGAGACAGATGTTTTTGTGCTCCTTAGATGACAATTTTCTCTGATAGCAGTCAGCTCAGATCCATATCACTGCTACTCTAGGAACATGCAGGATCCAAAAATCTATACCATTCCTATAACATGAAAAGGATCATTGCTACTCCTTATCACTGCTTAACACAAACATCCCTACTAATTCTTTTTTTTTCTTTTTTTAATATGTTTTTTATTGGTACATTTTAGATATACAATACAGTTGCATTAATCATTGAGATCTTGTACCCTTACATGACATATCTTGGTTCTTATTTTTTCCTCATCTCCCTAGCCTCCCTTCCCCCCCTCTACCCTTACCTACTTACAAAGACTTTTCACAAAATTTTACCTGAAGACGCTACCTTGAATTTGTCTTCCCTGAATCAACTTCCCTTTGGCCTCCTGCAGTTTTCTCATACAGCCTCTGTAAGGCTTATTTCATAATGTACTATTTCCCTATCTTCTCAAATCTTCACTGAAGATCCCTTTACTTCTTAACCTAACTGAAACCTGAGTCTCCTTTGGGCATGATTTCACCTGGAGCTGTTCGCCTTCACCTTGGGGAAGTTTTATATTTTGTATGAAACTCAGAGTTGGGAGGTGGGGTTCAGGTTCTTTCTGCTCACTGCCATTACTCTTGTGTAGAAGCTCATGCTTATCCAAGCCTCAGGTCTGTTCTCTTATTCTCTATTACTCACTTATTGCAAACCCCCTCTTCTGGCCACTTCTCTTATTCACAAGGTCTTTGTTCTCTTTCCTTAGGCTTCCAATATTCCTGAGTAACTCTAGTAAGTGGTCCTTGTGGATGGGCCATGTCCAGCCTCATCAACAATAGGACCTCATCTCTCGAGGATTCTGACTTCACAGCCACATCTGAAGAAAATCCCTTCTTGATCAAACTTTACTCAGGCTCCACTAAGCCATGCTTTCAACGAGGCCTTGAACTTTGGGTTCCTGAGCACATCTTTGCATTGTTCTATTTCAGCAAGAATCCTACTTCATCAGTTTCACCAGGTCCTCCTTCCTCTATACTTGATCATCCTTAATAACTGATCAAATTCCCTTCTTCACTAGTAGTGATGGCCCACACCTGTAGTTCCAGCAGTGACGGAGGTTGAGGTGGGAGGATCACAAGTTTGAGCCTAGCCTTGGCAACTTAGAGACCTGGCAAAACCCTATTTTAAAATTAAGAAGAAAAACAAGCACTGGAGATGGATCTCAGTGGGAAGGTCCTGGGTTCAATCCCCAGTACTACCAAAAGATAAAAAAATTTAAAATTCCCTTCTTCATCACCCATGTGATGTCTAATCACCCTGGCCTACTTCTAGCAAGAATACTGTTAGGTAAATTTAAGAACAATCCCCCTAGCCTTGAGATTTTCTCTTAGTAGCAGTCCATCCACTGACACCCCCTCTCTCCATATTATTCCTTGGCTATAGATCTTTACTTTTTCTTGTGTTTGAAATTGAACTCAATCATTCTCAGATTTTTGACTGCAGGATCCTATTATAGTACAGTGGTATCTCGGCTTATGAACTTAATTCTCTCCGTGATTCTGGTTGCAAGCCAAATTGGGTGAGAACCAAATCAGATTTCTCCATAAGCTCAACATTGAACCTAACCATTGAGTTTGATTTGATTTTGTCTAACTTGGTTTGTGACCAGGATCATGGAAAAAATTAAGTTTGTGAACCAAGGTAACACTGTACTTCCTTGAAAAAACTCTTCTTTACTGCATTTAATAAATTTAAGAACAGTTTTTCCTTAACACATTCTAGCTCTTGAACTCACCTAAGAACAATGAAGTCATAGATCTGAACATCCCATTCAGAGGAAAAAGTCTTTCTATG